TAAAACAAAAATTAATTGCACAGTTTGTATGGAAATCGTGAGACGAATCTTTTGAGCTCAATTAGTACATGATTAGCCATAAGTGCTACAGTAACCCACATGTGCTAATGATGGTTTAATTAGGCTCAAAAGATTCGTCTCGCGGTTTCCAGGCAAGTTATGAAATTAGTTTTTTCATTCGTGTCCGAAAACCCCTTCTGACATCCGGTCAAACATCCGATGAGACACCCAAAAATTTTCTTTTCGCGAACTAAACACACCCTAATACTTAAAGGAAAGCTTTATATAGTTCATTTTTAGCATAAAGCAAGTTTTAGTTCACAAACGTTTGCAAGGAAGTCTTTAAAGCATTTTTAAAGCGTGAATATAAGTAGATAACATGAATAATCATAGCATATCATATTATTATCCTTGCTGCCCTCCTCAACAACATGGCGCAAATTCCATTACAAAATCATCAAACTCAACACAAATCTGCAATTCCAAATCCACATTCCACAAACATAATTTAAAAGCATAAAACTATACTCATGACACTTCACCAAGTCGCTTATGACCGCGAGTACGACTAATCGATTAGTTTTAGACTCTACAGAGTTTGCACAACTTTAGTCACATGAAATGAACACTCTAGTTTGTCTCGTACTCGTGAAGCACTACCGCACTTTAGAGATTGAATGTGATCTAGAAGTTGCAACGAAGCCTTTACATTACCTAATGCCTAGTCTTGCACTAGCACGATAAGTGTGAACCCACTCTAGGAATGACCTAGAGTCGTTAGGTGACGGGCCACCACCTTAAACTTAAGGCCGTGGCGGTAAACGCATCTGTTTCCATGAGGCATTGTACTGTCATATTGGACAAACTTAGACACCTAAACTACTCCCAGTGAGCAAATAGGTAGCTCCTCTAGATAGCCCTGCTATACCATTAACGGGTCAATAGGCACTGCCCATACTTTCCCGGCCTACCAAAATGCAAGGCTAGATATTAAATAACTTATTTAGCTAAGTCCACACCATAAAATAGCACATGTCAATGTACGATAAAACATTAGTTAGTGGCACGAAGTTCAGTCCGGACATTCCCCCTATTAGTGTACAACTACCACCATTTGTACACCACTTGCCGCCCAAGTCTAAAACCATTCTATACACATTTTAGTTCACAAATACTTAACCTTTTCACTTCTGTCCAGAAATAAATAAATACCAAAACTCCATTTGTAAAGTGTTAAGAATGATTATTTGTATAGTTTTAGGCTTGGCTAAGCAAATGGAAGCATATAAAGCATTTATAGACCCAATCGAGCATTTAGAAAAAACTCAAACCAAAGCTATGGTTACAAACAGAGGGTTGTCAATATTTCAAGGTGGATCATGCAGCAAATAGGTTATATCTACCATTTTACCAAATTTTAAATATCGGTATTAACAAAATACACGTGCGATTTTGCAAACAAACAATTTCATTCGCCCAAATCATAGGGTTCAAGGTGATAAAGGGAGGAGGGGAGAACCTGCACGTAAGTCTCTCTTTCACCGTTATCGCAATTATCTATACAATTTACACGGTATGCAATTAAATACCAAAATATACAAAAAAAAAAACAAAATGCTCTAAAATGCATGATTTGTGCACAGTAGGTAGGTGATGAATTTAGATGAAGAAATTTCTATTTTATCTCTTTTTATTTAAGACTTATGAATTTCTAAAGTTTGTGCTGATATAGGGTACTCCTTCCGTCCCAAAATATAAGCATTTTTGGACTTTGACACAGTCTTCGAGATGCTACTTTGGCCAACAATATCTATAAAAATAAGATGTTTTAAATAAAAAGAGTAGCATATTATGATAGTTTGTTTAATGATAAATTTACATGATTGTTCTTTTTTATTCTTTTGCTATTAATAGTCTAAGTTAAAAATGTTTTACTTGATACTATGCTAAGACCCTCTTTGTTTAGGCTTAGACTTATTGGCTTAGACTTTTAAGTCAGCTTATTGGCTTATATGATTTATAAGCCGGTGAATTTAATGTCCTAAGTTTAATGGTGGAGTCATAATCTACCTCACATAAGCCAAAAAAAAACTTCTCCAATCTAGCTTTTGGCTTAGGCCCTCTTTGTTTAGGCTTATAAGCCAACTTATAAGTCGAAAAGTCTAAGCCTAAACAAACAAGCAGCTTTTCCGTTTGGCTTTTTTGAAGCCATAAGCCACTCTAACACTATTAAGCCAAAAGCTAGGTTGGAGAAGCTTTTTTGGCTTATGTGAGGTAGATGTATGACTCAACTACTAAACTTAGGACATTAAATCCACCGGCTTATAAATCATATAAGCTAATAAGCTGACTTAAAAGTCTAGGCCAATAAGCCTAAGCCTAAACAAAGAGGGCCTTAATAGTGTTAGAGTGGCTTATGGCTTAAAAAAAGCCAAATGAATAAGCTGCTTGTTTGTTTAGGCTTAGACATTTCGGCTTATAAGCTGGCTTATAAGTCTAAACAAAGAGGGCCTAAAAATGTTTATATTTTGGGACAGAGGGAATATATTATTTATCTAGGTAGTGTCGTGAAATACTTTTTATAGGTGATTTGGTTAAAGTTGACTTTGCAGAGGTCAAGATAATTGTTTTCTAAGACTAACCCATTTGGTTTCATAATTGTTGGAGTTTGTATGATTTTCTGATGTATTTTACAATTTGTAGCGTGTCCAATGTTAGTAATTTCCCTATATTTTTAGGTGTTTATTTGTACAGAATGTGTTACTTTATGTTCTTGTTAAAGAAAGATAATAGTTCTTAACCTAACAAAACTGAGTTCACAAGATTTGGAGCTAATATGAATTTTCTACATATTTTACAAATTGTGATGTGCTTTATGTTGATAATTTGTTATAACAACTTGAGAGGCATTAAATGTACTAAAGCTGAGTTCTTTCCCCAACTATAACAACCCACTTCCCTCGTTTTCCACGCGCACAATTTTCAAACAGCTAAACGTCACTTTTTTGCAAAAAGTTTCTAGAAAGTTGCTTAAAAAAAATCATATTAATCCATTTATTTAAAAATTAGTAAATACTTAATTAATCATAGAAAATATGTTGCTCCGTTTTCCGTGCTTAGGGAATGAGTTCGCAACTCAAAACAATGAACACAGCCTAAGTGTTTTGAGTTTTGGGTAACATGAATAATGTTATAGCCTTGCTGGCCTAACCAAGTCTTATTTTAGCTTAATTGGAGCTATAGCGTATTTTCTATAAATTGCATCATTTATAATTTGTGATTTAATACTTATTTCACCCATTAAGGTTTAGAGATGATTTTCATATTAAATGTACTACTTTTTATTATTTTTATTTTACTGTGATTAAGGAGTACATGTTTTGTGCAACTAGCAGGACTCCGTTCACTTTATTTTGAGTTCACTTTACTTTCGTCGACGATGCGGAGGAAGCACTAGGCCTCGGGGGTGAGGTGAGTGGCTGGACTGGCTGGGCAGTGGAGACGCCGAAGTGCCTACACGTGTTTCCCCAGGTGGCGGAGTCGGTGGCCATCGCACACGCGCAGGCCGTGTGCCCCTCCTGCTTCATCATGTTGCCGCCCTTCGCCCGCGTCGCGTTCATCGAGTCCATCTCCAGCTTGGATGCCTCAGGCTTCAGCTCCGACGGCTCAGACCCGGACTCCTTGCTTCCATAGCAGCGATGGGATGGCACCAACTGAGGGGAGGACCGCAGCGGGAAGACATTCCCACTGAGGAGCCGAGGAGGTCGACGATAGAGGCGACGCTACCTTCGCCTCCGATGTGTATAGGTTGGAGGGGGGGGTCCTCTTATTCTAGGAGCGGTGATTGAGATCAATGCATTGTTATTTCTCCACATGCACTGCTTGTCATTGGCTCATTGTTGATTTCATGTCTACAGTAGTTGTTGAAGCTGTTCTGTAAGTTCGAGATGATGAAGGAGAAGATGCGAGCAATAATGAACCTACAGCACAACGTGTCCGTGTCTTGCCTCCACAATTGTTGCTCAAGTGGCCCAAGGAAGCGTCATTCTGTCAGTTGTTGACGCAACTTGTGCCAACAACCCGATCGAATGAAGAAAATAAAGGGGGATGAGGAAGAAGATGAATATGACAGGTGGGTTCCACATACAGATGGGAAAGAAGATGGGAAACGTGACGGTGATGCCATGGTTTCGATTTTGTAAAAAAATGAGTTGCACGGCTACGAATAGACGAATTATAATGGCATTTATCTAAATAGACACATTTGCAATGGCACGAATCAAATTAACCCAACTTTTTTAGGAAAACGCTGGGGATCAGGCGCCCGACGGTGCCAGAAAAATTGCCCCCCTCACGCGCGCCTCCGCCTGCCTCCCACGCCTCCCCACCACTAGGGCCCCATTACAACAAATCCCTCACATATTACGGAAACGCTCTATTAAGGGATTTCGTTTCATTTTTTTCCACTAACAATGTTTCAGCTAGTGTACTCGTAATGTTTCACTATGTATAGATAAAATGTTGCAGTGAATTGAATTATTCTTTTACAACAAATCACCCACATATTATAGAAACCCTTTATTAAGGGAATCCGTTTCATTTTTTTCCACAAAAAATATTTCACATAGTGTACTCATAATGTTTCACTGTGTATAGATCAAATGTTCCAGTAAATTGAAACATTCTTTCGATATTTGCTAAAACATTGTTTTTATATAGGGTGAAACAACGCTTAATTTTTTTTGGAAACCGTTGTTTCATACGTTGTAGCAAAATGTTTCATGAGATGATTTGGTTGTGTTTCAGCTTTTTAAAAATACTGAATTTTTTTCGATTTGTTTAGTGAAACATGTTCGATCTAGTTGATGTTCATAAATCGGGTGCCCGATTTAGAGGCGCCTCCACTTTTTAAGGAGCTATTTGTAAAATAATTTTTTAAAAGGACCTAGAGGTGAACAATCCATGGCTAAACCCACCGCGCGGGGCGCGCCCGCAGCGAACCAGGCGCGCATTAGGCGCCCCCCGAGTTTCTCCCCCCTTCCCTTGTTGGCGTAAAAGAAAAATCTCCCCGTCTCGTCTCCTCCGCTCCTTGCGCCATCTCGCGGCTGAACAGGGGAGGGGGAGGGGCGCCGATCTCCATCCGACGAGCAGAGCAGGGGAGGGGAGGGGGATCCTGGTGAGCATCCACATCCTCTTTCTGATTCATCTCTGTCCCCCACCGGTAGTACTTTTGTCTGGAATTTGCTTGCGTTAACCCTAGCTTCTCTTCTAGATCTGGAAGAAGGGATTAAGAGAAGCATTTCTTAATTCCAGAGCCTTAATCTTAATACAAGTAACAGTTTGTTTGTTCCCCTAAAAGTTTGGGGGTTCAGTACTGAACCCCCATGTCCCAAGTTGGATCCGCCCCTGTGGGGAGATTGAATGGTGCCCTTAGGGATCTGTGGTCGTTCGTGGACGAAAAGCGGTTGGTGGTCGCAAAGATTAGTTTTTAGGTTTCTTTTTTTCTCCTGAAGTGATTGCGATTACCGTGCCTGTGATGAAGTGGCGAAGAGAGGTAATGATGGCATAGATTTTGCATTGGCCGTTCGGGGTGACGTTCCTGTATTGGGGCTCAATTTGTTGTTTCTCCCAGTAACTAGGTGCTTCCTGGTTGCTGAGCACGCCGAGGTGTAGATTTTGAGATATACTCTTTTGACTCTTTAACTTTGAGTAATTTTGGAAATTATGATGGTTCTCTTGCCTAAATGATGTTTATTATTCAAATATCTTTATGTACTTCTCTTTTGAACTTTTATTTTTTTTCCACATTTTGTTTCGCTCTCAATACAACAAATAAGCAGTTCTGGTAATTCTTTTATTTTCCCATTTCAGGAGATCATGGAGAGTAGTTCTTCAGATGTTCAAATGTCACATTGTGCTGAGGACTTGAATAGTGAGAGTACAATCGAGATCAAAATAAAGACATTGGATTCTCAAACATACAATTTGCGTGTCAATAAACGCGTAAGTGGATAACAAATGCCCATGCCAGAGACTATACAGTTGCTTTTTACAGTGCTCTTATGGTTCCTTAGAAACTATTGGCTATTTGCATGCACAACATGTTGCAATTCTAATGATATTTAATTGCCTTCTTTCCCGGGAACAAAATACCACTCAATCCCTTTCGCATAGTTTAATTAAATAATAATAAGTGAATGTATGTCAAACTTGCTTAAATTTCCCCAAGTAATTTTGACAACCCACTACTATATCTCATATTTTTACCATTTTCTGATAGTTTATTGTGCAGCCTAGTTGCAAGTTCATTTTATGTTCGAATGATGTAAATTGCCTTTTTCTCAATTTTTTCTGTTAATGGTAGTTTTGAATGTATAAATAGCATCTAATGTAGAGCATGTTGTTATATGTATGTTCTTTTGGGCATGCACTCACTTCTGATGCACAACTTCTGATACACATATGGTGTGCATTTAGATTCTTTTGAGTAGCAGCTGGTCTAGTGTTGCATTACCATAGGAGCCCTGGATGAAATTTATGATTATATAAGATTGTTGTTTGCTAGCAGTGTTTTTCATAGGGCCTTTATGATCTGTGAACGTTGGTTAGGTGGCTCTAGTAGCACTCCTCAGGTCCTGGGTTCGACTCCTTGTGGGAGAGAATTTCAGGCTGGGGTTAAAAAAAATCCCCTTGTCTGTCCCACGCCAAAGCACAGGTCTAAGGCCTGGCCCAGGTCATTGGTCGTTCTCACACGGGCTACGGTGCTGCTGTGTAAGGGTGGGGCTGGGGTTCGGGGGTTTTCTCAACTTGCGTGAGAAGGTTTTCTATGCAAAACTCCCAGGGGCTGTCTTACCCCCCCATAGGTCGATTCTTTTTAGTGGTCTGCGAACTGGAATATTATCTTTGAACTCCATTGATCATTTTTAGAACCTGCTCAGAATAATTCTATGTACCCTTTAATTTTCAGAATTAATGCTGCATTAGTTTGTTCAATATTTTGTTCCAGTTCTATTTTTTGGGTGGACATGCCATTTATTGTTAATGCTTTGTCTTTTATACAGGTGCCAGTGCCTCTGCTAAAGGAAAAAATTGCCACTGTAACTGGAATATTGTCTGAGCAACAACGTCTGATTTGCCGTGGGAGAGTTCTAAAGGATGATGAACTCCTCTCTGCGTATCGTATCCTCATCTATTTTTGGCTTGTAGCATTTTAGTTGTTTTGTCTTCCAAAATTTGTTTCTCCATCTACAATGCCATATCCTACAGTTTCAAATGTTAGATGTCATTCGACAAACAATATTCTAGATCAAGAAAACAATGCATAATTTTTATGCACAATTAAAAGCATAATATTAATATTTACAAATGATGATGGTCCCATTGTTTGGAATTTCGGATGACATGTTGGAAATAATGGTATTATATTTGGAAGGTGTTGTGTTTATGGTTTAGCAATTTCTTTCTCTTCTCTTTGTATGGTATGTACACTGATGTTGCTTTGGTGATTTTTGTCCTTTTCTTCTATACTATGAAGAAAGGGTTCAGATATCCCTGTTTACTATGAAGTCTTTGTCGCCTTTTGATTCCTCCCAGGATAAGTCACTAAAACCTAACTGGTTTGATCATATTATTGGACAGCACCTGTTTTACATTTGAAGTACGTACTTGGCTTACCTTGTAAATGGTAATCCTTAACTGAAGTTTTTATTAGACGTGGAAGATGGCCATACATTGCATCTCGTGGTTAGACAACCAGGACAATCCGCTACATCAGGAAATGCTGGAAATGAAGGTTTGTAAACTCATTGTGTGTAGTTAAAAATTGATTGGGAAGTTTAAGAGAGCATTCTTTGGACACCTGCATTGTGTGATATAATTTATTTAGTTTCTTGGGCTGTTTTTCTTCTTGGTTTCAAGATCGTGAATAATTTTTATTGAAGCAAAAATCTTCCGCATTTGCAGTAGTTCTAATGGTAGATAATACTGTTATGAGGTTTGTGAGTATTATTTAGGTTGTCAGTTTTGACTCTATATTGCTTTAGTTAGCATTCTGAAAGACTGCTGTAATGGAACAGATGCTCGTATGTTGTGATTGCATGTCATGAACATCGAATCTGATGTGTTAGCAGCATACTGCACTTGGTCTATTATGTCAACTAGTTGCTTTGTACTTGTCATCATTACAATTACTTTCTATCCTTTCCATTCCTTTTTTATGTACCCATATAAAGCAGAGAAATGTACCACAGACCTTCTGTGTTCCCACCATCTTCCTAATAAGGATTCTATATGCTATTCTTGTTAAATACCTAAAAGGCTAAAACTTTCTGACACCCATATGACTTGTTTTGTTGCTATAGAGGCCTTTATGCCTTTTGATGTTATCTTATACCTATAGCCATGTCAATTTTGTATTTTGATCTGTTTTGCATTTGAAAATTTAATTTGTATTAGCTTCATATTTCTGTAAAGTCAAGTCAAGCACACTGCAGTTACCATTTGGCCACTTTGAACTATGAGCTTTATTATGTGGCATGCCTAGACCAAAAACTTGTGACAACAGCTGCATGTTTTCTATATTGCACCATAGAATTCATTCTTCCATTTTCTCCTTCCGTATTTCTTCATTACGCAAAAACTGTCAATTTTATAGGTACCACATCAAATCCTGCTCGTCGTCGTGGTCCCACTATGACTCGCAGTATTGTACTTGAGGCTATTAATGTGGGTCAGGGGAGTGAACTCAGTGTTGCACAGGTTTTCCTTGTTCCTATGCACCTCTATATCTTCTCTTACTGTGTTCCTTTGGTTGACATATAACTTATTTTTCACTTATTTTGTTCTTTTGGTAGTTGCTCCAAAGCCTGCTTCGAGCTCCTAGTAGCACACAAGTTTCGGTAATCCAGCATTCTGAAAGTCTTTGGTTCAGATTGGAACTAAAAGGATCTTATTTGAAAATAATTTCCCTTGTGTTAGAGTGGACCAGCACCTTCTGATGCCAGACCTTCAGAAGGTGCACAATCTTCAACGCAAAATGGTGTCAGGGCTGTACTTGATCAAATGCTGGTTCCTCCACTTTTCCAGTCTGAAACGTCAGTTGGGTTATCAGAACCAAACGTTAGTCTTGGTCTTGTATCCTTCACAACTCACATGCCCTGATGTTGAAATATTAATAAGATATATGGCTAATAACATGTTCTTTTGCAGGTCATTCCTGATTCGTTGACCACAATTTCTCAGTACATTAACTTTTTGAGAGACTCCTTTAGAAGGGAAGGCTTCCTCGAAAATGGTCTTACCTTGACTTTTATCTGAGTTGCCCACATTCTGAATCAGTCTGAAAATTTAGTTATTTACTTCCAATACTCTTTACAGGACAAACTCTGAATAATGCTGACCATGGAACTGCAGGAAGTGCCCATGGAGGTGGTACTCAAAATCATGAAAGCCAGCCTGATTCAGCTTCGGCGCATGGGCTTCCTACTGCAGCATTGCTTGCTGAAACTATGCACTCTACTAGACAACTTCTTGTTGAGCATGCTGGAGCATTGCTATCTGTCCGTGCCATTTTTTTATTTTTTCTCGTTATGAATTAGCTAATATAACAGTTATGTTTTAGCTTCATGAATAGTTTGATCTCTTTTCTGTTTGTTCTTGCTGAGTTGAGAATACTATGCATGTAGCTATTATTCTTCAATGATAGGGAAAGTATTAGTGAAGTTAGATATATCAATTTGAGCTATTTGATTGAGGGTAATATGGTAAATGTTTCATTGGGTACAACATATGAGTTTGGCAGGTCCAATCACCCTCCATTGTCTCATAGATTCCGACATTCATAGTTGCACTCAATTAAACCCTGTTTCTTATAAATTATCCAGCTAATGTTCATACTCCCCACCAAGAGTCATGGTACTATAACCTTGTAAAATGTACAAAACGTGTACACATCATGTCTGTTGAGTTTTTCATTTCTAAACTATCTTTTTTTTTGTGTTAGTATATAACATAATATTGAGGAATACGCGGATACCATTATACTTTATTTTGTTTTAAGTGGAGAACAAGTGAAATGGAAATTTTTGTAACCATTCATGTATGCAATTAAAAACTAATTGCAGGATAAGTTCATTTCCTGTGTTAATTATATTATTGTGCTGTGATCACTTCATTATGATTACTTGGTAGTCAACTGACTCCCATAGATGCTGAAATTTGTTTCTTTAGTTTGGTTTGCTGCTTATCTGCTTTGTTGAGTTGTTAACTTCGGTTTTATACGTTACTAGCGTGTCTGAAGTTAAGATGAGTTATTTCAATGCAGCAACTACCAAACCAGCTAGGAGATATTGTGAATGTAACTGATGCTACAACACGGAGGAACCTTCAAAACAGTGTAGTCAGATATGGAGTTCTCATCCAATACCTTGGTTCATTACTTCTAGAACTTGGCCGCACGACAATGATGCTGCGTATAAATCCTGCAACTGTAGGTTTTTCTGACAGCTTTTTTTTTTACCTCGTTTCACATTGGAATGATTCTGTACTGCTGTACTGACCAGTAAGCATTTTACTTTCAGTCAGAAGCGGTTGTCAATTCTGGACCAGCTCTTTTTATCTCTCCATCTGGACCAAATCCTCTTATGGTTCAAGTGAGTAATTTATAAATCTTATAATTTTAATGAGTAAATTTCACTAAACCTCACCTATTATGATCCAAGTTGCACAAAGCCACGGGTATTTTGGCACATGCCACTGCCACATATCCCTGGGTATTATGGTCCTAAAGTTTCACAAAATCACACTGTTAACCATTTTGACATACTCCTATATAAAAAAAAAACGGATGTAACATTTATATGGTGGATACAATGCTCAAAAATTTAAGATGTGACTGTAGAACTAAAAAAGTATGGTAGAACAAAGTCAAAATGAGAAGTAACGTAGTTTTATGAAACGTTTGGACCATAACACCTAGGGTTATGTGGTTATGTGCCACATGCCAAAGTTTCTGTGGTATTGTGAAGCTTGGACCATAACTGGGGGGGGGGGTATTATGAAATTTTGCTCTTAATATTAACAGGTAGAGAACCCATTTATCCTATTTCCGTCGTTGCTAACTCATTTTAGTCCAGCCTGCTCCTTTTGTTCCAGGAACAGGATCTGTTCAAGTGGGCCCAATATTTTCTAGTCTTACTTCACATCGCTCTGTTCTGCACCCAAGAGATATTGACATCCATGTCCGCACGAGTGAGTAAATGTTGCTATATTTTGTTTCTTCAGTCTGACTATTGTAGTTTGACCAGCATGGGAGTTGGATGTCACATTTATCCATCTAGGATTGACCAGCATGGGAGTTTGGATGTCACATTTATCCATCTAGGATTACCATGTCTATTGTTAGCTTTGATATATACGATTAGTCTGATCAATGATCAATGCTCTGATCTTATCATGACAATTAATTGTTGAAATACGAGTTGATAAGAGCTAATTTAGATTAGAAGGTTGTTTGATTGGAGGCATAGTCCAGCATACTAAAATTAATCATAACAAACTGGTGTGTCAACTGAAACCAGTTTGCTAATACCTCAGAGTTGATAGTTTAGAATGAGTGCAAGTCCCAGTTGGTAAGGTTGGTTTAGATAATAATACATTTGAACCAATGAATGCCGATTGAATGCTAGAACGTGTTCTTTTTTAAGCTTCTGGACTTATGGATTTTGCACCTTTCTACATCAGCATTACTTAGATAACTTGTTCTAAGCTATTTATTAGGTTTATAATTATAATTACTCAATTATAATATTTACCTCATCCCTGTAAGCAACTGTCCATTATCTGTCCAATCATCCATACAGAACATGTCTTAAACTTATTATGGCATCCATGACCACACTTAGTTTGAGTGTACATTTTTCCTACTGTTACTTTGGTTGATGATGGTTAAATGCGGTCCTTTTTGGTTGTTAGGTGGGTCTGTGTCTTTAACTGGTACTAACCCACCTGAGCGGGTTGAGGAACATCAAACACAAGATCGTACAGATAGAAGTGCAAATGCTTCACCTGCAAACAGTAGTGAAGCATTTGCAGGGGTTACAGCTGGTGCTCCATTTTCTGTTGAATCTGGAGTTAGGCTGGTGCCGCATAGAACAGTGGTTGCTGTGCCTGCTGGCATCAGTCATCCTCCTTCAATGTCTTCTAGTGGAGTTGGTATTATCTACCCACTGTTTGCCAGAATTCAACAAAGAGCATACACTAACGCTCAAGTTGCCCATAGTGCTAATCAGATACCGAATCCACAGACATCTCAGTATCATGAAGCAGGTGAATGAGTTTTTTTTTTTTCACTCTATCTGTATTGTTTGCCCCCTTGCTCGAGTATTTTCTGTTTGCTCACTAAACTGCTATCTACTAGGGGTGCAATCTGGTTGGATAGCTCTTGACTGATCTTATGTTGAATCTGAATAAGACCAGATTAGGCAAACGGTCACATTTATAGATTTTTTTTGGATAGGTGTTGTAAACTAGAAATGCAGATTTGGATGAGAGATGTCCAGATTCTAATAAAATCTGAGGTCCAAGATTGAAATGGGAGGGGAGAGAAGTGAAATGGATTTATCACCGTTGCAGGAAGTCTATGGCACGTTTCTTCACCGTAGGTTGGTTAGCAATGCCTTGGTTGGCCTGCCAGTGTTAAGCCAGAGGAAGGAGAGGATGAGGCTAGAGACTGCTTTCCCTGTTTCCTTGTTTGAGTTGTATGTTCAATTTGCCTTTTTGAAGTGCTAAGTAGTGTTCCTCCAAGTGATGAGGAACTTGCCACATTCAGGTGCACTAAATATCACTTTTATTTGCTCAAATTCTTATAAGTATTATTTAAGCATTTAGGCTAGCATTTTACATGCAAACTTATTGAACTTCAATATATTTGCAATTGTATTAGCATTGATGCCTGTCTGGATTCGTATCTGTTTTTTTTTTTAATTTTTTACATTTAACTCATTCTGGAATGCCTTTTGCGTACTTCATCTTCTAGAATTTGTCTAATGATTTCTGCATGCCTTTGTTTCAATGATTCTTCATTCTTTTTACGTATGGGTACTCCAGGTTGACAGGCTCATGTTTTTTGCGCATCAAAAGAATGGGTTACCAGTTATTTGCCACTGCAAATATTGGCATCTGAGGATTTGCCACTTGATCTGTCATGGACATGTGGTCACTAATGACAAATCAGTGGCATATTGCCAAGTGCATAAAATTCATCTTTCTGTGGCAAATACTCATGTTTCCTCTATAACAAATGTATGGTTGACATATTATTCCTTTTCTTACCACTGAAGTATTTGTCTAATAGGTACTCTAGGATCTCCTGTTGATATCAATGCGGAAAACGGCACTCAGACTTCCCCTGGGGAGCAGAATGGCCAGGGGCCTTTTTCTCAGTTGATGGATAGTATCCCTTGGATTGCATCACTCTTTTCTGGGGAAAATTCTCGAGTAAATGGCACAAATCAGCATGCACCGGCTTCTGCTGAGCAGGTAGATGGTAGAAATCATGGAGCACCAGAAGTGTCAGGAGTCAGTGATGAGGGTCTACGGTTCGCTAGCTTAGTTCGCCAAATTATGCCATTTATTTCCCAAGTTGAGTCACATCATCAAAGTGCCTCAGCAGTCAGTAGCAGCACCCCTTCACAGGTAACTGCAATTTCTTCTTATTATGGCTGTAAATACAGTTAAGCTCATGATGGACTAATCAGTACTGGCAGGCTGCACATGGGAACTTGAATACTGCAAGAGCTGGTCCAAGTCATTCCAGGAGTTCACATCAACATAACCGTGATCCAGTTGATGGACCTAATTCTAAAAGGCAAAGGTGTGTATAATCTGACTGACAAATATACTAGTTTCTTGCATTACGTCTGGTACTGTAGGAGGTTCAAATTTAGTCACAAATTTTATTTAAGCATATTTATTCGGTTAGGTAACCTCAACATGCAACAAACGCATGTACATGTTTCTTATGATAACATACTACCAATTAATTTCATTATGTTAGTCCAAACTATCTCTTTTTTGGTAGAAAAGTAGGGGTGTAGGGGAGGACAAGGAATCAGATCTGTACTTTTGCTTTCTGTTTTGTTATCAATAGAATGATATGTGAATTAATTGTTTTACATGCCTTGGAACATTTTTTTTTCAGAACAAGTGAGTGATAAAGATCTTCATGTCCTCCGGGGTCACCGTTTTGCAAGATAAGCCGAGAATTTTGCCGATTCTCACTGCGAGGATGGACTGTCATGAATGTCTTGACAGAGTTGAGGGCAGTGGATTATTATTATTTGGCAGTGTATAGTTGGCATCCGGTTCATTAGTCAAGGCACCATCTTTTTTTTTTTGCCCATTTCCTGCGGATCGGTTGTAATGTTATTTTACTATCCTATCTGTAGAAATTCGATTCAATTGGGGTTAAATTATGCCTGCAATTAACCAAAAGCTTCGTTTGGTAGTAATTGCTGTAGCATGTGGAGAATTTTTGCCACTTAATAATACCCTCTATGATTTGTACATTTGAGTTCCCTTTGTTCCGTATAGGGATGGCAACAGGCCGGGTCGGCCACGGGCAGAGCTAAACCATGCCTGATCCAGCACCAGAGAATGCCCGCTTGAATCATGCCTGATAGGGTAAGCGTGTAAAACTTGGTGTCCATACCCATGCCCAATGTACATGGGCATGCCCGGTGGATACCCAGTTTGCACCCGATGGTCCCTTGCGTCGCTGCCCGCCGGTGTTGGCCAGAGCTGTGCCACCTGCCGTCGTCACCTTGAGCCGCCTCGCCGCTTGCGTTGAGCTAAGCCGCCGTCATCGGCCTGTGACGCCATCCTGCTCGCTCTGCTCCCCATTGTCTGTTGCCTGTGCCACTACCGTCGTCACATGCCCATGCTGCCACTCCTTGCCTGGGCCGCCACTGCCTTGCCTGCGCTGGCGTCATTGCTTGCCCACGCCCTACGCAGCCGCCACTGCCGTGGGGATTTGGGTAGGAGTAGGAGAGGTGAGTGGGGGAATTAGGTTAGGGTTTCTATTAGTTGAGTAAGTGTGTGTATTGTCAAGAGAAAAGGGTATGATAATTAAGAGATGAGCCAAATTTAGTTAATACATAGGTACCGGGTTGGACATGGACATGTGTTACCTATAGGCAAAAATATTACCCAACTGCTGCTCGCTACGTTCTCGGGCCTGTCCATAGGAAAAATATTACACCCATTCCCTAGCTATGTAGTAATATACACTAATACCCCTATTGAATGGGGCCAAACATTCCTTTTTTTTTCAGTTATAATTTTTTCCGTAATTCAGAAATTTAGATCAGAGTTTATTTGTCAAAGCTTAGATTAATGAAAATTTTGAAATAAAAATGTCTATGTTTTGACTATCTATATAAATTCTGTTTTGTTGTCGTTTGAATTCAGTTTGTGTATTTCTGGGATTTGAGTTTTTTTTTCTTTAGGAGTTATATTTGTCCGTGTTTGGAGCATGTACTTAATATTCGAATTCCTTTTATTCGGAATTTATATTTTTTAATAATGGAATAAAATTCGGAATTATATGGCTACATACTGTTGATTTAGTTTTTGCGAATGTACTACTAATATTCTTCGTTTTTTTTCTTGTTACCTGTCCTCCCGTTATCAGGGCACAAAACCGACTTGTCAGGACCGCTCCCATCCTCCATAAGAGAACACCATTTTTAAGTTGGGGCATAGGAATAATTCCCTTGAATCGTCCCGTGTCTTTGCTCACTGCATCTTTCCAAATCACCGTGCGCTCCTTACATTTGTTTCAGTCCCCTAAATCATAGTTGTCTGACAATTATTAACGACTAAATTTGGTAAGGCCATGGATCGGGTTCAAAGCCAGGGTCAAAACAAATTAGGAGGAATTCTGTTTAGGGGAAGCAGAATGCGTATCGACTGCCATATGCATCGGCTGACACCAAATCCGACGAAGACAAGCCGATACAACCAGTCTCGAACAGACGGTCCTGCAACTATCGTCGGGATCAATTAAGGCACTTCATAGACATTGCCACGCAGGGATTGGAGTCCAGAAAATGTAATTGTATCTATTAATTAGGATATTTTGTTAGTTTCCTTAGAAATATTTTTGATAAGAGTCCGCCTAAGGGACTTGTTCGTATTTTAAATTGTAATAGAGAAAGAGTTGTGTCTAGCAAGGACATGTTATGTACTTGGGTATAAATATGGCCCGACACCTTGTAAACAAGGGACGACAATTCAATAATACTTCGGCGCATCGCTACCCTTTTCTATTTTCATTGTTTCGACATGTTTTTGCTTTCGAGTTGGCCTGCATCGAGTTCGATCTCCGACGAAGAGGTAAAGCTTGTTATGGCGGTTTGCGTTCTCGGAATTAGTGCTTACATCTTCATGACACTCTAATCCTGTCCATGTGAATCGCCGAGTTATCATATACGCTGTATAATCTAGATCGATCTCGTCATCTAACCTCATTAGCTAGCCTCTATCATCGAAAACGGCCGATAGATTTAGATATCGACATTGAGTTAGATTATACAGAGTATCTACTATATAAAAGACCAGAAACTATGTATACATCTATCATTTACCTCAATCCTACGTGCACATGATGGAAAAAAGAGGTTATAGTAGATGTTTTCTCTCATGTTTTTCCTGTGAAATGAGTTGCAAAGGAAAATTTCCTCCAACTTCCCTATGCCTGGATCCAATGAATCGAAGGCTGCTATAGTGCCAAATCCTGAATACCTACATATTCCTATGAAATTCCTATAAATCAAAGGAGGCCTTGGCAGTTCAATTTGTTTCCTATGGATTGGATTAAGCCACATATCTTCTTCTTCCGTGCTTTCTTGCATCCAGGAAGGCTTAGGGCATCCATAATATTGTAAATTAATAACCATAATTAAAGGCCATAAGTTGGACGATAACCATTGTGGCTTTAATCATAAGCTGGGCCATAACAAAAATTAAGCATATGTTTGTGATCAGTCACAAGCGAAAAAAAAGAGAGGAGAATCTCTCTTCTCGCTCCACCGAATAAAAGGTTGGTTTGAAATCTTTTTCATTTGTCAAAGGGTTCACGTCTATTGTTAACTGGCATAGGGTTGAGGGTTCACCTTAAAGTTAGGTTGGCAATAAACATTGGCCATATGCGCTTAGTTGAGCTATTACCTTGTTTTCTGTTGGCACGATTTATAAACCATTAAACGGTGTATCAATTTTGTGCAAAATTTTCTGTACAAAAATCAAATAAATTATTTTTTGAAAATTTACAATAGTTAATACTTCCTCCATCCGAAGTTGATCATCATATAGGTTTATGCATCAAGATTAAGGATAATTTAAATCGCATCAATTAAGACACTATGCACATATTCTCCTACTATGTATGCATCGATTAAATCACCATGCTAATTACATCCTACCATGCACACATTCTCCCATGCTGTATTAATGGTATTTCAATGGAATTCGTGTTCATACGGTTATATGATAATTAATTTAAGAAATTTTAGATTTGATTATATAATGATCAAAGGAGGGAGTACTACCTAATTAAATATGCAGTAATTACCTAGCTATTTTTATTTGTGTATGTTTTACGTGCGACTGATTAGCTAAATCAACAAGCTCTACCGAATGCATAGGCGCAAGGCAAACAAGCGAACAACACTAGCTCTGTAATTTCTTATAGGGTGCTGGTAGACCATCCAGCCATCATGGTGCCCGGCATGAAAGATCCACCACACACCACTACAACAGAACCACTCATTTATAATGGGTGGTAACCTCGTCAATGATTGGTGGACAATATGAGAAAACTGTTAGGATACACGTAGGCTACGATAGCATAAACTAAAAATTTTTCACCGCGTAAACCAGGAACCATATAAATATTAGATCATAGATCGTTACCACTCGACGCGCTGCGCAGCGGAAGTAATTAAGCGCTAAGAAGGCGAGGAACCCGCGTGATGTAGTGCGCATCGATGTAGAGGAAGTAGTCGATCACACCGGCTCGACCTTCTCCCCCTCGTGCGTTGTCCTCGCCGTGCTCCCACGCCGATTAGCACCGCAAAGCAGCGGGGCCTCTACCGGTATCCACAAAGGAACACCACGCGTAGATGTGCTAGCATCCACGCGCGGTTAGGGTTTGCTCGGGGAGGGGAGTGACAACTAGGGTTTCACGTGGTGTGTTAATTCCGCCGGTCACATCCCCTCACGAATATAAAGGATACACGACTGGGCCTTCGAGGCCCATATGAGTCCTACTCGGATCCCTATCCGATTGAGTGCATATTAGATCTCCATCCAATCCCTTTATTCCGGCCCTTTAAGCGTGCAACCCTGTAGGTTCATATACACTCGGTTGCAACCTGAAAACTCCTTTTCGGTCCACGTGTCAACAGCGGACCCTAGCAGAACGTATTGACCCACCGAGCATACATAAAGATCATATCGGTTGAACCTCTAGTGTAAACTTGTATGGACCCCTTTGCCTCACGATATAGATTAAGCTCAAGGCTAGATATGTGCCATCATCTAATAGCTCAACCATTCACTCGAACTTGTGATAGATTATATAACTTGTGATTAACTCCTCAATCACCTTTGGCATGACTATGCACTTCCATAATCTATAACATCGAGTGGCCCAGATATATCTCTCCATAGGAGGAGCAAATCCCATCTTGATTATTCATATCCCACTACATGTTTTATAGTATACCCGAAAACTACTTTTATAACTACCCAATTATGGAGTAGCGTTTAGCAGTCCCTAAGTAAGCTACTACACATGTTGGGAACCATGATAATCTCAGGTCTAAGGATTCAATACCAACACTAAATAAGATCACTGATGACACAACACATACGGCTCTTGCAGTGTCTCATGTTGGGTCTATCTAACAACATGTTCACCAACATGTGTCCACATTATTAATTTGGTATCTCTATACCATGATCCATGAGACATGATCATCAATTAATACATGTGCTGATCATCTAAACATATTTGTTCCACATATGATATTTGATCAGGGATCCTTTAGAAATAGCAACATATAATATAAAGAGTCTCAAGAAAGAATCACATATTCATTAACAAATAATGAGTTATCTATTTCAAGGAACAATGTCGGATAAATATGTAAACATAGTATGTGATACAATCATCTTTATGATTTCCTCTAGGGCATATCACCAATAAAAACCTCATCCGTGATGAGTGAATAACCGTTACCAATAACCCATCGATGATAGGTTTTAACTTATCACACACCAAAGATGACTCCCGTCACATATGAGAGTTATCTATGATGGTTCGTAATTATGAACCTTCATGGATGAGAATTTATGATTTTTAAATTATAATAAACAAAAAAACCCTTAAAATATTCAAAATATTATTATATTATTTCAACCATGGTCGTACATCACTAGCCACAAATTCATGATTTTTTAAGAGATATTTACAAGCACACTATGGTGGGATTTCAACCGAAGA